TCTCCAATTTTCTTCACTTTATTTTAAAACCTAATGTGGTGGCATTGTTAACTGATAGGATGGCAAAAAATAATTAGGCAAACACAAAGTGCCAGGGGAGGTTTAGGCTGGACATCAGGAAAAAGTTATTCACAGAAAGAGTGATTTGGCATTGGAATAGGCTGCCCAGGGAGATGGTAGATAACGTCATCATCCTTGGAAGTGTTTAAGGAAAGACTGGATGTGGCACTTAGTGCTGTGCTCTAGCTGGTAAGGGGGATGTTAGGTTATAGGTGGGACTTGAGGTGGGACTCTAAGGGCTTTCCCAACCTAGTTAATTCTGTGATGCTGTGAAAGCAGAACATTTGTTTGTTTGTTTATTTTGGTGACAGTCCCTGGTTCTAGCTTACTAGTGCTTCATCAGATTTTTTTTCACTATTATCCAGGTTCCAATTGCAAAACCTTTATATGGACACTCCTCAGTGAGCATGCAGATAAATGCATGAACAGTTACAAATTGCATATTTCTCTAATGGGGCAGTCAGCTGTGTTTAAATTCCACTCTGAGAAGACGAAAGCTGTGTCCTACTTGCACCTACCCTAGAGTCACTAGTGTAGGTGCTCTGCACCACCTCTAGTGACGGGTTGCTGCTTCCAGCTCTTATGTGGTTCACGTTCCATAGGAAGCACTTCCTGCTTTCCATCTGCCATAATTAGGCTGCATCAGCTTGTGGTGTTGATGTTACACAAAGGGATGGGTAATGTAATGAAGCACTAGGTGTCTGACGGACCTTTTGCATTCTTCAGTATGAAATACTTGATATTGGAAGTAATATTCTCTGGCATTTCAGAGAGGTCTGTTTTCTTGGCTTCTTATTGGCTTTTTTTCCATTGCTGTCAAGCTTGTCTTCTAGAATGAATTGCCCTGATGTAACAATCAAACACCAACCAATGAAAGTACAAAAAAAATGCACCCCTGTTTATAGGGGGTACAGGCTATGTAACTTGCACTCTATTTTCAGAAAACTGCTAAAATGCTTGTCTCAATTTAAATTGATTAATTGCCCACTTTTCCAATCATCTTCCTTCTGATGGCTTCACTTCATACTGATTTATTATTCGGTGTCTGATCAGCAGCAATGACTCATTCTCGTACAACTCAAGAAACTGTGGCCAGCCCTAAATCTTTCGTTCACATACTGAGTAGTGCTGGTGGTAATGTTTCATATTAATGATTGACTAACCTCTTCCTGGCCTAACTTTGATGTCTATTTAAAAGAAAACCTTCCTGCATCCAGATTATAGTGTCTTTTAAAAACTTAATCCCTGCTCCAGATGAAAGCTTCCTGTATGATCTTGGTTTTCAGAAATCTTGGATGTTTGCTTCAGTAGAATTCTGCAAAGCCACAAGCTTGATAACAAGCATTAAATCCAGGTGCCGTTCTTAATCTGATGCATGTGGTGAGCTTTGAAAGACGTTTTGATGTGTATTGGGTTATACAAAGGAGGATTTTTGTAAACCTGAACTTCCCATCCCTGTGATAGCCTCTGGTAGCAGTGCTTTGTCTAGATTATAGGAATTTGTGTAAAAGACTTTTTGTTACCCTGGTAGAATTTCTGTCTGGGATACCTGTCAATTATCTTCACTGGATTTCAATTTGCTGTCAATTTGCAGAAATTATTAGCTGGAGTGTAGGTTTTCTGATGGTTCCTGCTTGTGTATTAACTCTCCTGTCTTGGAAGTGTTTTCATGAATGTGGGGAAGTCTTGTTCAAATGCTATCCTTCTAGCTTCAAATGCTACCCTTTAGAAATGAGGGAGGCCTTGTGCTGAACCACCACCAGTGGTAGCACGGCTCAGGTTCTATAAGGTAGCTTCACTTTTGAAATGTCTCCACACTCTGCACATGGCAGCGCATGGCTAGTGCTCACTCTTGCTCCCCTGTCGCTGAGCTCTGCTTGATCCATAATCTACTTCTTTTAAATTAGTGTTTCCAAGCTGTCTTGAAAACCATATGTCTATTAGGATGTGATGCGTATATGGCAAATGCTTAATTTGGTCCAGCTTAGCAGGGCACATCCCCATGCTGCTCTGAATCTGTAGCTGTATACTTCAGTCCTTTCAGTCTGGTTTTATTTACTTGATTCTTTTAACCTTAGGTCACATTTACACCAATAACCCAGTGAATGCATTCAGACTGTGGGTGGAAGATAACAAGCAGTTCCAGTGGTTTGAGTTTCTGTGCTAACAACGGTGGTTGAATTTTTTGTCTCATGGAAAATATTGAGAAATACTCATCTTTATACTAAATATGTGGTTTTTGTAACCCAGCCTGACTTGACATATATCAGAGAACCCATTGTGCTGGCAGAAACTACAAGGGTCATTACTACTCTGGCCATTACTACCTGGGCATTATCATTTCATTCAAACTACTGAAAACAGAGAAAATGAAATCTGTGTGGGAAAGAAGCAAGTGCTGCCACAGACACTGGAAATTTTGAAGGCCTTATGCAAAGAAAAGGGTAATTCAGATAATGACGCAAAGTTTCTTGTATTTTTGTTTGATAACTGTTAAATTCCCCTTCTAAAATCATCAAGGTGGTGAAGTTGATTTTATTTAATCATGTGTAACTAGTGTAGTTTATTGAAGCAATGTTTTTGAAGTTAACTGTTTGAAATGTATTTCATGGCTGCTTAGACATAGTTACTTATGTACCTGTCCTGGTGTGCTGTTTAATTCTCTGTTTGAATATTATGTTTTAATAAAATGACTTTCTTAAAATCTTTCAAGCATTCCTAACATGGATGGCAAAGTAAGTAGATCAGATCAGAAACTTGTATTTTAAAGGTTGCACTAGACATGTAAAAACATTTGTATTATAATGACAGTTAAGAAAAAGCAGAGTATATGTTTTTATTATTTTCCTTTAGCTTCAAAAATTATTTCCCTAAGCATTACATTGGAGTCTGAATTTCTCACCATAGAGTTGTAGAAAATTTGCATTTAAAAAATGTGATTCAAAATTTTTGCAGATGAAACTGTCACAGTGTATTTTTTTTATTGATCCATCCTGAAAATGAAAGTAGAGAAGGTAATTGCCTGAAGGTTGGAAACAAGCTGCACTGAAACAGGATCAGGAAACCCTGAGTACTGCTTGCATCTAAATTTTGCTGTCATCCAGTGTAAGTGGGGATGAGTGTGTATCTCTGGGGATTTCCAGTGCTTCTGACTGCACAGAAAAACAATGGAAGGGTAAAATTGCCTAGCTGCACTTCATAAGGGGCTAATCTGAACCAACACAGCTTGCAAAATTTCATGTATAAGGAAATTGCTGCATTTTAATCTCTTGGTGAAATGTGGATGTAAGCTGAAATTTTGGCAATTTTCTAGCACAATTGGGATCTTCAGCACTAGAAAATAGAGCAGGTTCTCTGGTGTGAATAGTACATTTGAAATAAGTTTAGGGAAGTGTCCTGCACTAAACATGCTCCTTCCTTGCATGTCTCTAAAATGGCACTTAGAGATTTTGATTTTTTTGCTGTGCTTGCACTTACCATTCCTCCCATTTGGCCAAATTCCAGCTTCAGATTTAGGTTACAGAATAATTTGTCCCTGGTTCCAGACTTCCCATGAACGTAGTGATATGTAACCTATCTGCTGTTAACTGTAGAATGAGTGCAAACATCCATAAAACACATTTGGAAAGAACGGGTATGTGCTAGACCAGCTGTTTTCAGTCCAGTGTGTGCTTGCCCTTTCTGCTTTGTTAGAGCTGCTGGCAGCCCTTCAGACTGTGCCACTTCCCTCAGAGAAACTCCACAATGCTTTAACTAGATCGTGTCCTCTGTCATTCACTCTTACCCTTACTGCTAATTTATGTGTCCATATTTGTGGGAGATTTGGAAATAAAACTTAGGAATTATGAATTTGCCATGATCTCCTTTTTACACAATGTAAAAATGTCTCTATCTACAAATACCTAATATGTACACAAATGTAAAAACTATTTGTGTTTTTTTTTCTGCATGATTATCTAAAACTTAATGACAGAATTGTATTTTTCTAGGGAAAAAATGCCACATCAACTTGCAATATGAAGTGCTCACAGTAAAAGCCGTAGTAGGCTCTGTTCAAGATATTTGCAGCCATAGTTAATTTTCTTTTTACCCCAAATTTCTCTTCACATCTTCTCTTGCTAAGGCTAGTCTGGATCCTAGGCCCAGAGGGAGAAATAGTCATGTTTTAAACATAAGAATTACCAAGTTCTTAGCTTGGCCCAGATGTCTGTATTTTAAAATGGAAAGCTTCTGATGCTGCCAAGTGCACTTCAAGCTACCTTGCTAGCTAGTTTTCTGGGAACAGCTGTTCTGTCCTCCAGGCTACTGTCAATCTTTGATTTATTCAAATGTTGCCCTTGCAGGTTAAGACAAATAATAGTAACAAATCTAAAAAATTAGTTTGCTCTTTGTTGTTGATCCAAGGTTCCTTCAAGTTCTGTCCTGCTTAAGTGCCTGCTGTGCCTACTGGTTCTGTGCTTTTTCCAATTCTTCCTCTTTTCATTACTAGTTCCAGTATCTTTGACGTGCTGAGTTCTTGAACTTTTCCCCTCCTGGCCTTTTTTTCAGATCCTGCGAGGCATGTCTCAGGTGGTGTCAGCTGTGAACCAGGACCTGGGTTGGGCAGCAGTAGCAGTGTGTCCTGGTGCTACAGGAGTTGGTACAGGCAGATGGTGCTGGTGTTCATCACTGGCTCTTACTGTGTGTGCTAAGTTCCCTGTTGTGAGATCCACACAGAATTCCTCAATACAAACCCTCAACTTTGGCTTGAACCTAAATTTCCCGTGCTAGCTCCTCTCAATCCCAGGTTTTTGGTACTCAGAATTTCAGCTGAAGAAACCTAAGAAACGTTTCTATCAACCATTTATGTTTTTAAGCCTAATCTCGACGTGATGGGGTTTGTTTTCTTTTACAAAGACTCATCTTCTATTTTCTTACAGAATAACCTGACATTTTCACAGGTCCAGATAACTCCCACTTTGTCTGGAGGAAGAATGGACAAATGATGAAGGCATGCATCACGGAGCAGTCTCACATGCTGCTTGACGGCAGAGTGCATGTTCTCAGCTGGGTGAAAGATTCAGTATCAGAAAACACAGAATACAGATGTTCATTCATCTCAAAAGCTGGGAACACAACATCAGAAGTGCTGGTCACAGTGGGAGATAAAGGTAGGCTTGTTTCGAGAGCATGCCATGTTTGGCCTGACCCTGATATGAGTAAAGCTCTGTAATACTCACCCAGAAAATGTGCATACCTGAAGATGGTAACTTTTGCCTTCTCTATTAGTGTGCACTTCATTTATGGAAAGGATTTAGCAGCATAAAAACTCCTTCTTCTACACCCCCCCTCAAAGGACTAATGTAAAATAGCAGTTATGATCTAGAAATTGAACCAAAACCTGATAAACTAATTCAAAAAACCTGAAAATCAGATGAGTAATGGAGAGCTACCAATAAGTACTCTGACAGAATTCTACAGGGTAATGTAGAGAAATTCTTTAATTTATAAGGACTTAAGGAAGTCATATGGTAAAGATAAGCTCCCACTATGCTGGATTTTAAAAATTGCATTATTTGTAAACCACTTATGGTTTGGATTGAGCAGGGTCATTCCGTCTGCTCCATTTGGACACTAACTAGGCAGGAGGGCAGTTAGGTAACTTCAGCAGCTGCAGGGTTTTGTGGCATCAAGACTGCCTGCTGCAATTAGTGCTTGAGACCTTACACAGGTGTAGAGAAGATCTGAATAGTCCTTAAAAAAACAGCAGGAATTTTATTTGCAAGATGAAGGAAAAATTAAGAAGCTGGTTTATACCAAATGTGAGTCTGTTGAGGAAGGCTCAATGCTTTTTTTTTCAATGACATAGAAAAGCCATGCAATCACTCCAGTTACTTTGAAGTAGTACTCAGAAACAGAATTAAGAGCATCTCAACCAAACCCCTCTAAATGTAAAACAGACAGAGGGGCTCTCACTGTGCTCTAAAAACATATGACTGTTGCTACTGTCCCAAGAGATAAATAAAAAATATGTCACCATGAGTCTTACATTCTGCAAAAAAAGCTGGCAAATAAACCAAGATGCAGCCACATAGCCCTTTTAAAATTACCAGTGTAAGGAAGTATAAGGATCTCTTGAGTGAAATGACATGACATCTACAGGCGGTCAAAGGATCAGACCCAGCCCGAGTGGGTTTAGGAGGGGCAGGTCCTACCTGACTGACCAGCCTGGTCTCCTTTTCTGACCAGGTGACCTGCCTGCTGGATGCAGGAAAGGCTGTGGATGTTGTACCTGGACTTCAGCAAGGCCTTTGCCACTGTGTCCCACAGCACACTCCTGGGAAAGCTGGCAGCCCAGGGCTTGGACAGGAGCACTCCTTGCTGGGTTAGGAACTGGCTGGATGGCCGGGCCCAGAGAGTGCTGGTGAATGGTGCTGCATCTAGCTGGGGCCAGTCACCAGGGGTGTCCCTCAGGGGTCTGTGCTGGGGCCAGTTCTGTTCAATATTTTTACTGACGGACATGGATGAGGGTGTGAATCTTTCATTAACAAACTTAGGAAGATACCAAGTTAGGGGGGAGTGTTAATCAATACAATAGGAGGGCTCTGCAGAGGGGTATGGACAGGCTGGATTGATGGGCCAAATCCAGCAATATGAGGCTCAACAAGACCAAGTTCTGGGCGTTGGACCAGGTCCAAGTGTTGTGGCCACACTTTGGACACAATAACCCCTTGTGTGCTACAGGCTAGGATCAGAGTGGCTGGGCAGTGGCCAGGCAGAAAGGGACCTGGGAGTGCTGGTGACAGCAGCTGGACGTGAGCCAGCTGTGTCCAGGTGGCCAAGAAGGCCGATGGCTCCTGGCCTGTATCAGCAGCAGTGTGGCCAGCAGGAGCAGGGCAGTGACGGTATCTGGTACTCGGCACTGGTGAGGCCTCACCTTGGGTTTGTGTCTGGTTCTGGGCCCCTCAGTTTGGGAAGGTGATGGAGAGTGAGGTTGAGATGCCTAGAATATGTCCAAAGAAGGGCAACAAGGCTGGTGAAGGGTCTGTAGCACAAGTCCTGTGGCTGAGGGTGCTGGGGCTGTTTAGCGAGGAAGAAAAGGAGGCTCAGAGGAGACCTCATCACTCAGAACCACCTGGAGGAAGGTGTAGCCAGGTGGGAGGCCAGTCTCTTCTCCCAGGTCAAGAGGATACAGGCTCAGCTGTCCCAGAGGAGGTTTAGGCTGGACATTAGGTGGAATTTCTTCACAGAGAGGATAATTAAACATAGGAGTAGGCTGCTCAGGGAAGTGGTGGAGTCGCTGTCCCTGGATGTGTTTAAGGGAAGACTGGATGTGGCACTGGCTGCCATGGTCTGGTTGACAAGGATTTGATCATTGACAAGGATTTTACAAGGTTGGATCATAGGTCAGATTTGATGATCTCAGAGGTCTTTTCCTGATTGATTCTGAGGTCCTGTGATTACTGAAAAATGGGAAGTACTAACTGGACATGTCCATCATGTTAACTGGTCCTCTCCAACATGTCACTCTTCTGCCCAGGCTTATGATCTGCCTGGAGCATTCCTGTGCTTGTTAGACGGGTTTGAACAATTAATTTGTACATCCTACCTTTTAGATCTTGAATCACAGATAATGGCACTAAACCCCTTTGCTCTGGAGGCACAGTGTAAGAGACATAAGCATTTAAACAAAACTTACTGCCAAATAACATGAAAGGATGTAGAGCAAAATGAAGGATGGGGGTTCCTTCTAGCCCCATTCCTGCAGGACAGGCAGTCCTGGATCTGGTCAGGTACTGACTTCTGCCATTATATGGTTATGGAATCATCCCATTTCCATTCTCAGATAGTACTGGTCAGGAAGCATGGACCAAAGAATTTGATACCTGGAGAAGTGCCATCAGTGAACATGACATGATGATGCAAAACTGGAGGAAAACATGGGTAAGACTTTTACAGACTGCCTCTTGCTCTTCTGCAACTGCATGTACTGATATAACAAAATGATCAGTGTTCCAGTACACATCATCATTCCTGACCCACTCAGCAGTGAAGTCTGTGTATGACATTTATTGCAGTTGTGTCACCTTATTCCTTCAGCCCACTAACCAAGTGCTCATCCGTCAGTAGCTCTGTTCCTGCCCAACACAGTAACTCTGCGTATAGTGAATGGAGTCGATAAATTTCATCACATCTGTAGACTAACTGGATTGCAGAGACTACTGGACTTTATAAATGGTACTGTCCATAAAAGCTGACCTTTTTTATTTTTAAAAGAAGTCCATACCCATCTCTTAATATTTTTTTCCAACAGCTAGGAGATCACTTTTGAAAACCTTAGATATTATGTGCTTGCTGTCTGTGGAACAGTTAGTATAGGCATCCTTAAGCCCCATTTTCATTTTTAGAGTGGTATTAACACATCATTCTAAAATTTTTCTTCAGGAGACCTGCAACAAGAGAAACAGCCTCTAATGGACAAAGGAATTAACAGGCTAGAAGGAGAAACATATGCAAGTTAAGAGTACCTGTTATTCTTATTATTATAGCATTTGGAGATGTCTTTTCAAGTGTTAGTGCTGACATTAAAACCGATATTCAGGAGAATCACCTCAAGCATGAAGTAGAAGGGGATATTCTTACTGCACCAAAGCTAAGTTACATGGTACAAGAGAAGCCACCCATCCCATCTCTGGTTTTCTTTTGTCAGCCATTTTAGCTTAATAAAGAACAAAAGTAGTCTCAGCAAGATTTGTGCTGTTCAAAGAATGTGATACGATGTTTTCTGTTTTGAGTTCATTAAGCCAACCAGATAATTTTGGGCTGGAGGATCTTGGCATAAGATTTAGAAATTAGGACGTGGATCACATTTATTTAAAGGCATTTCAACTTGTACACTTATTTTTCTTTTACTATGTTTACCCTTATGGTGCCAGGGTTTTGAAGAGCATTCCTTTCTAGTGTCAGCAAGCTCATTTGTTCAAAGATATTTCCTCTGGTAATTGTGCTGGGTTTTATTAATTTTCTTCACAGTGGTTGGTGTGAGACTTGATGTTCTGGATTTGTGCTGAACACAGGGTTGGTAATGGAGAGATGTTTTTGCTGTTGCTGAGCAGGGCTCACACAGAGCCAAGGCCTTTTCTGCTTTCAGCACTGCCACAATGGCAAAGAAGTTGGGGGTGCATGGGAGGTTGGGAGGAGACACAGCCAGGACAGGTGACCCAAAGTGACCAAGGGGATATTCCAGACCATGTGGCATCATGCTCAGTACATAAAGGCAGGGGGGCACTTTGGAATGATGTAATTTGAATTCCCAAGTAACCATTATGTGTGATGGGCCCTGCACTCCTGGAATGGATGAACACCTGCCGGCCCATGGGAAGCACTAAATGAATTGTTTTGCTTTGCCTGTGTGCATGGTTTTTGCTTTTTCTATTCAACTGTCATCATGTCAACCCATGGTTTTCTGGCTTTTACCCTTCTGCTTTTCTCCCAGTGTGAGAGGCTGGGTGGTGCTGGCTGGGCTTAAACCATAGTAATAAAGTTTCTATACCAAATAAAGAAGTTCTGACTAATGCTTAAAATGCAGATAGATTACAAAGAATGCAAGAAGACTCTTTAGTTTTTGCAAATTCTTCTTCTATATTTGAGATAATGTAGCTTAAAAATTCTATGCTGAATGAATTCAAAGACCATTCCTTATGATGATCAAGTGTGATGATCAGACTGAAAATGTGAGGACCTACACACTATCCACAGTAGAAGTGTTCTACTGCATTACTGCTCACAGTTTTGTCCTTCTGCACGTAGGAAACAAAAGTCCAATGTATATATTAAATTTTCTCTATTATCTGCTCAGTCAACAATCTGGAAGCAAGTAAGGTGCTCCCTTATAATCAGTAAGCTCAGGCAGAGAGCTGCTTCGAGTGGTATCAGAAAGCTTCATACACATCCCTAAGTTCTCTCCTAACTGGTAAGATTTAAATCAGTGTTTCTGGCATTAAAGAAAGCAGTCTCTTCATGCTAAGACTTGAATGATCCTTTTTTTTTTCTTCAGTATCAGACCATCTTGTCACATATGTAGGGTGAAAACTCATTTTTTCCCTACTTTTCTTAACCATTTTCCCTGTTTTTCACATAGGCATTTAATTAATGCTGATGAAGACTTCCAGTACCACCAGAGTTAATTTTTTTCTCATTTGTTCTCATAAGTTTTTTGCTCTCAGGACAACTATAAATAGACTTTTCTTGAATTGTTTCTCCTCCATTTGTTGAACCGATTTGGAGCATACTTGCCATAGTTCTCTGCTCCACAGTTTAGTTCTCTGGAGTGAGCGGGAATACAAAGTAAGACAGGGGTCAGGGTTATGGGTGATGTAGCTACGCTTTGCTTTGTTTCTGCAGGAAATTACTGCAAGTAGTAAAAAGCTGCGAAATTTTTTGTTTAGTTCAATTTTATGGGGAGGATAAAAAAGAAAAAAAAAAAAGAAAAATCTGTGTACCAGCATTAGTAACCATGGCTGTGACACCTTATAGTAAATTTTTTTATACACTATAAGAACTAGAAATAAGTCCCTAAGATTGTGAACATGTAATGTTTCTGAAGTTTTATGCTCTCCTAGAGTAAGACAAAATAGAAAGTATGGTCAAAACCCAAACTTCTTTACCAACTGATCCTCATTCCATGCAATGACTGGGTTTATCAGTTCCAGAATTTTAAATGTGTATCCAAGCGGCACAGGTACAAATGAATAAATCACAACTTACCTTTGCATCAAGGGTATATGCTGGCCAAAAGCATGTTTTGTCACTGGGGCCTTTAACCCCCAATTTCCATGTAAGATTAGGAGGAACTAATACAAAAAAGATCATCATCATAACTAGTGCATTTCAAGATAAGGCCAGCTCCCCTTGTCAACATTCTTTCCTAAAAGTTTCAGGTAGAACATTTCAGGTATCACTAAATTCCCGTAAGACGAGCTTACTTAAGTCACACTCATTCTTTATAGAATCAATATATTGTAACAGATTTTATACAATTTACAGTCTACAAAACTCTGTGCATTTCAAAATTATTTGAAGTTTTTTATATCACTTCTATCATCACAAGGCAGCTACTTTCCAAAGTATTGCACTACAAATGTTCAGTATGGTGAAGCGCTTGCAGAAACAGCTCGGAGATGCTGAGCAGCATATGGCACCTGTATCACCTTTCAGAAAAGCTGACACAAGTTATATGTGCATCCCTTCAATTACCTTCTTTAGGCCTGTCCTCAAAAACCAGTGTGTATATAGGCCATTCCCACTAAGGTGCTCCACCACTACTATAAGCACATTTTGTTTTTAAAATTTTATTTTCTCTAGGATACAAACTTCATTTCTTATAAGATATAAATTTTTTTCTATTTAGATACAAACTGGGATTGCTCAAAAACTCATAGATGTATATACCAATACAACCCCAAACTGAAGGAATGAGGAGTCTTAGCAAGGAGAAAGTACAGATAAGCAGGCTAGCACATTTGCTGCCCTGCAATATCCTTTAACTTCAAAGCAGGATGTATGATAAAGTACTCTCACTAGCAAGAGAAACATCAAATTTATAAAAAGTCTAAACAGAGCACATTCACTTAAGAAATTTCAGACCCTTGTAGTCTGTGCTATCTCCTTCAACACCTGATGTATGATCCCCAAAGAACAACACAGAAGAGCCAACAAGGAACTCTGTCATCATGTCCTTTCTTAATTAGTTTACATCAAGCTACCTGCCTCAAATTAATTTGTTGCTGACTAGAATAAAGTGACATTGATAGCAGCCTGCCCTTCTGAGCAGACTTATTTAGACAAAAAACTAAGAACAAACCCACAATCAAACAACAGTTGAAGTTTTTTATGCAGAGTTAAAAATTAAGGGCAACTCCCCTGGCTCAAGGACTCTCTTCCAGAAGAAACTTACTTTTCTATCAGATTCTTTTGGTATATTCTACCCCAAGAAATCAATGCTAGTCCATATAATCATTAAAGTATGCTAAGCCAGTTCAAGTGGTTTGGGCTTACAACAATTTGGTGTTGTCATCTGCTATAATAATCAGAGAAAGACACAAAACATAAAAACATTAACCAGTGCCTCATGTGCTCCAGTGTACATTTTGCTTTAAGGGATTCAGAAGAGTCTGCTTAGCTAACTTCATATATTTCTTTAGATTGTTATTTTTGCTACCTTCTTCCTAGGGATCTAACAGAAAAAAATAAAAGCCCAATAGAGCTGGATCTGGATTTACTGATGGTCTTCCAAATTCAGTATCCCCATGTCAGCAGCTGCACTCTTTTCCAATTCTAGTGCGTATGGGTTATATTCTTCTTCAAGTTTTTTCTTCCAGACTTTAACTAGGGAATATTGGGAAAAAAATAAAGAAAAACAACAACCAACATGTTACCATATAATACTTGAGGAAAAACTTAAAATGAAAAGTCAACCCTGATTTTTTACTTCCCCTTCAAAATAAGTGCTGAGATCAGCTGACATTTACCTTATACAATGTCAGATAACACACAAAAGAATAACTTAAGAGTGATGGGGTCCACTGATCTCCTTGTGTCCAGCATTCTACTCAAGTAAGGCTAACCCTGAAGGTGGTTCCAACTTTAAAAAAAACAGTAAGTTTTAAAAACTTTCTATCTGCAATACATTGCATTGTCTGTTGACTTAAGAGCAGAGCTGGAGGAAAATGTTTCTACAAAGGAGTGCTTGTGGACAGGAAGATGCATCACAAATAGGCTTCAATACAAAAGTTAGTCTACCATAGTCATAGAGCATGGACATCCATAATTAATCTTAAAAGGATTTTTTAAACAAATAGAAATGTAAGTAGGAGCTCTGCTAAGCCTCCTTGAGCAAAGCAATGTGTACTGCCTGCCATTTGTGGATTTCAGGGAGGAACTTTCTTTAATACTCAGTATTAAATTTAATACTCAGTAAAAACTTCAGATTTACAAAAAATCCAAGAATTCACCCCCACCTTCCCTCCTTACTAATGACTACAGTAGATGTCATTTGCTTCAGTGAAAATCACAGAACTGATGAACACTATGAATGAAAATGGAACTAAATGCAAGTCAGTAAACACTTACTGTAATTTGGTACATCCTCATCTGAGTCCTTGGAAGATGTTTTACTAGTTTCTAACGCGCCATTTTTTTCAGATTCAGGAGTTAAGATGCTAGGCTGGGTTTCTCTTAGTCCTGCTTTAGCTTCTTCCTCTAAAGCTGCTATCATATCTTTGTAGGCCTTCCTAGCTTCTGTTGTCAGCTGTACCATTCGGTGAAAATGGTCCTATGGCAATATAAAATACAAGAACTTAAATAATGCAGTAAGTTTTAACATCTCCTTGGAAGTCTAATGAGTATTCCTCTTTCAGAATGTGTAGGTTCATGTATAAAAGTTGAGCAGCTTACTACGTATGAAGACATGAAAGACACAGCATTTATCAGGATTTATAAAAACAACAGTTCTCTTGAAAAAAATCATCAAGGGCGATAAAGAGGAAGAGGATGTCAGGAAAAGACAGCAAGAGTACTTTTTTATTTTTTAACAGTGCTGACTGCCTGTACTTCTAAAATCAGTTTTTTCATATAAGCTATATATATGACCTGTGATGAAGAATCTAAGTCTGCAAAAGCAAAACAAACAAAAAACCCCTTAAAAATCACAGTATTTTCATCTCCTCTTCTAAGTAAAAAGTGAAGCCTTTTGAACAAACAGATGAAGTGACTTATGTCAGCTTACCTGAGCCCCATCATAACTGAAAATTCCCACCACGCTCACAGGCACTGCTTTGTTCACACAGCGGCCCAGGGCCTTGCGATTTAGGGCAAAAACAAAGGGGATGTTCTGCTCACAGGCACAGTCAATAATGTTGTGTAGGGTCTCGTCCAGCCCACCTGCACCAGACAACACAATCAGGCTGACTGGAGCTAAAGAACCATACTGTTAACACATGGCAAAAAACATCCCAAGATTATGGGTGCATTCTGAAACTACACCTTATAGGAAAAAACAGAGATCACAACAGTAAAGTTGAATATCCATTTTTAAAGGACAACTTGACATTTTTTTCTTAATTCCTAGTTAGCATTAATTTTAGACTGCTTCTATTCCACATTTTACTATATATGTAGTACACTCTAATCTAGTATCAAAAAAGACGCAGCTGCTAAAGAATTCTTTAAATGACATCAATTACAAAAATTACAATAACTTAATGCCAATAATGGTAACTTTTAGGAAACTATCACTAGTGATTTACTGTCAGTCCACGTTCTAAAAGAGATTGATACAGTGGACTCCTTTGATGGCACAGCTGGCACCAACAGCCTTTGGACTGTCTCAGCTGTGCAGTGCAATTTTTTGTGTAGCAGCACAGCAAATCAGTAACTATGGACCCTAATCTCAGGTAACTTCTCCCACCCCAGATAGTCTTGACTCAGCTCACAGTTCAGCTGCACAGCAGTAAACAATCTGAGTAAGGAGGGCAACTTTATATGGCTGGCTTTCAAAGGATATTCAAATAAATTCCTCCAATAATAACAATATTGCTGTCAATATATTGAACCTTATTTTTTGCATTTCTTTTATTAAACAGATTTTTTTGGTTAAGAACTTACTTACCCTTTGACTGAATCTTTTCACAGTTAGGAGAGATGATTACACACTTCAGTTTTTTCAGCTTCAGATGTTTCAGGACTTCTCTAAGACCCATAACAAGCCTGCGTTTTATCTTGGCCTTCACTGGGTCTTTCTGATACAAGCGATCTTGGAAACGAACCAGTTCTTTCAAGAGGTCTGTCACACAACTGTCAACTTCTTTACTAAGTACCTGGCTGCAGTAACTGGAAGAAAGGAGCAACAAAACGGTTACATTCACTAGAATTACTAATATGTAACACTTAAATCTGTAATACATTAAATATAAATTTAAAATTCTATTCTGTGTCTCTGTATTTTTTTCTGTTTCTGCTCCAAACACTTGATATATACACAAAACCAAAAATTTACTTCTTCTTGGTGTCTGAAAACTTGAGAGGAAGAAGTTTCGTTCCTTGTGTTACCTGGCTTCCTAATGAAACTGTATTAAAAATACATGTATACATGTACAATAAACCTATCCATCTGTATCTATATATAGATATATATTATTCCAAGAAATAGGTATGCACATATATTTTTCTAGTGAAACATTTTTCTGAGGGTAGTTATTTTGACATACATAAATTAAAGTACAGCAACCAAAGCACAAAATTCTGGCTTATTTCTGTAAGTTCAAGGCTATGTGTACCAACCATGGAAACTGGATCACATTCCTGCTCCCTACATTCATGTCTGTCATCCTTTTTCACTTATCTGACTATGGCTTTGCGGTGTTCATAAGGAAAGGACACAAAACAATGTAATTCACTCTCCTAATACACTCTGGGGAAGATCAGGATTAAAAATTATTTCACCCCACCCCACTTTTACACACAGAATTTTCCAGTGAAGAAGGGAAAAAGAAAAACTAAAGATCAGCTGCATTGTCAACAGAAAGATTTGCCAGGGGCAAATTTGCTAAGATAAAGAGACAAGATCACAACATCTATCCTGTATCTTCGAGATACAATTATTTCTGAATTTTATTTAGGTTTCAAGAATTTTTACTTACTGTTTCCTATTTGTTTCCCTAAGTCTTGAAGACAGATCTACTGAAACACTAAAAAAACTGATCTAAAGATCAGGTTTGCTGAATGCTCTCCATCCTGTAAACTGAGTTGTCCTTCACATATTCAACCCAAACTGTGCTCTCAGTAAAACACTGTTACATTAGCACAAATTAAGCTAATTGTCATTTGTTATTTCAATTAGAAGTTAAATTAAGAATTAACACAGCAGGAATGTTTGTATCACTATTAACCATTACTATGACATGAAATGCAAAAAAACTGCCAGTGGTGGATTTGCTTTATGGGAGGGGAACTAAAAATTAAGACATTGCTTTCCTCAAGAAACTGTTTCAAGCTCTCATGACTGGATCTCTGACCTCTTCACATTTTGTAATCACTACTTCTTTTTTATAAAGAAATGTGTATACACATCACCTTAAATATTTAGCTGAAACTGCACACAATACCTCATTAATATTACCTTTATTTCTTTGCCCAGCCTCGACATAAAACGTCATCTAGTTTCTTTACATTTTTGCCATCTGGTATGGCAGTAGAAAACCAAACTACAACTAAAAATACTATTTAAGAAATAAAGTAGCACACTTTATTTGAGCTGTTACCCCATTATTTAATATAAAGTACTTATATTTTAACAGCAGCTTGTTTTCTTTCCTTAGCTTCTAGTGAACTTGGGGTTTTTTTCCTTCAAGGAATAAACATTTTCAAATGAGAATCACAAAACACACTAAGTTTGTAATTTCTTTATGTGTCAGCTTACAGAAGGACTGAAAGAAAAAAATTTAGAGCCTTCAGTCTAAACTCCAGTTAGTTTTGCAGAGAATGCAACTGGATTACCTTGTTTGAAAAATGC